AACTCAGAGCCCGGGGAGTAAGAGGTGCTGACTGCACAGTGGACGGAGCTTCTGCCTCGTGGGTTAGTGCTTGTGACGATGCTGGAGACAGCACATGGTCATCTCAGCACTGGTAGTTAAGTGCTGCGGGCGGCTCCGGCCTTGCCTGGGTTTCGGGCCACACTCCCGTGATACGCCTTACTAGCAGCCCTTATTGTGAACCTTCCGTATTCCAGGCACTCTGCCTGGCTCTGGGCACATCCTGTCCCTTTCGATAACATCTGAAAGTCGTGACTTTCCTCCTTCCCAGAACGGGTAGCCAGGCTTAGAAAATTTGAACCAGCAGCCTAAGATGGCAGGCTGAACCTAGCTTCCGTTTCTGGTCTGCCAGAATTCAAAACTCATGCTCGTTCATGCGACTGTGTGCCTCTTGATGGTATACATAAGGAACAAAAAAAGCACAGGGCAATTCTACTTGAGAAGCAAATAGTGACTCTGTAATTTATAGGAAGAATTTGAGGACGTTTGCGTTTTTGCATAAGATACCATGGAATAAGTTAATTTTCACTGACGTTTAAATGTTCAGGACACTTAATCTGCATCTATCTAATTTAATCCTCTTAACAACCCTATGATGCACAGATACTAGCAGTATCTCCAGTTGACAGGGAAGGAAAAGGAGGCAGTAAGAGGGTGAAATTTGCCTGAGGCTCCTCAGATGGAGCTGGGATTTGAGCCCAAAGCTCCAGGACGTACTGCTTCTAGAACCGGTCCCATCTGTGCCTTGTGGTGTGAAACATGCTCAAGTGAAAAGCATCTCCTTCCTTTCCCCAACAATACGTGGGTAACTGCTGGAGATGAAGGAAATCATGAGATACGCTGTTGTTCTCATCCCAACTGTCTGTATTTAACTGATGGAAATCTGATCCCTGAAGTGTCTGAACATGAAAGTGCTTTTTAATTTTGGTATACATCCTGGGTTCTGCTTTAACAGATTTATTACTGTGATAGGGTTTGATAAGCTACATTTTTGAAAATTAGATTATTTTTAAGAGTCAGCAAGTTGGTAGGTTTAGAAATTAACCAAGGGAGCAGTGAGATTTACAAGGAGGACAAACCCATGTTAATCAGAGTTAAGATAGAATGCATGATGGGAATGTCAGTCCCTTAGTCTGTTAAAACAGTATAAATACGTGGCTCCTTGTGAGTGAGCAAAGGTCATGTCCTACCTTCTTTCAAATTTGTGTTTTGAGAAAAGCATTTCTAAGTAGAATTTGAGTTCTTAAAAACTGAGTTGGCATTCATTTGTTTCAATAAGCAGTAACATTTTTCAAAGTTGGTGTGTTAAACTTTTAAAGATGCACATGCGTATTGAATTTCAGGAACTGGGCAATCCTCATAAGGTTTTGAAGGTGTAGGGAAGGTCTAAGCCTCTGTTTATTTTCTAGAACTATGCCTGTCATGTATGTGTGGACTTTCCCATCAGCGGTTTATCATCACTTCTCCTATAAGCACTTTTAATTTTCTATTCATGATACCTGCTTTCAACTGCTACCTTGTACATTTACATGTTTGAGCACCTTTGACTTTATGAGCAAGACCTCGTATGTCCCACATTTCTAAACTAGTTTTTCGTTAAGTATCTCAGTAGTGGTGGCAACTGAAATGTACAAAGCTAGCTGGTTACTGATTACTGTCATATAAGGAACTTTTAAAATATGATATTTAAAAATAGTATCATCAAAATCCTTTCATCAAGATCTTGATTTGGTAAAAGGTGAGAATAATGAAAGGGCGCAGTGCAGTAGAGACAGGCCGCATGTGCCTGCCCCTGGTCTGCTGTCACGCTCCTGCCTTAGAGAGAGCGGCAAGTCTGAGCGTCTGCGGGCTGCACATGTGTGCATCCTCCATGCTGCTCCGCCAGGTGCTAGGTTGTCCAGCAGGCTCAGGAGGGAGGCTCAACACCAAAACGCCTTTTCTGAATCAACGTTCAAATGTGTTTGTTAAACGTTAGAGGGGTGGAAAGAAACAAGTGAATGCGCAAGGAAGAGTGACTGAATTGAACGTGACCGCAAATAATCCACTCTGATTAACAGGCAAGATGAGTTGAGAGGAGAAGTTTTCTGAAATTGACATCAAAAGTCGAAGGGTTGTTGCCTTTTTTTAAACCTAGGCCAAGAAGGCACAGTATCTGCACTGCCTCATGAAACAAAATCCAACCTGTGTTATAAGCCAACTAAATGCTGAAGGCTTTGAGACTCACCTAGTCCTTCCCCAGGTCAGCCTGACAGCTGGCCACTGACACCACTAATCATAGCACAGATGCGTAACCAAGGTCAAGCATTCTGAACTGGGGATAGGGAGGAGGGTGGATTTTCCCTGAAGCTCATGTAGCTCATGAGACCAGTCTCGGGGTCTTTCAATTTGAGGGACCCTTTCTAAGACCCTGTACCTAATTTTGTATTCATTCTATTTTTCTTAATGAGAAGGCTTCAGAACCCACAAAATCTGGGTCCACTCCTCGGTGAGAGTATCTGTGAACCTCCTGAAGACAGGGTGGGCATGGCTGTGTGGATATGTAAATATGCTTCCATATTTTTCTGGAAGGGTTTGTAGTCTTCTCAAAGCCATCTGTGACTTACAAAGGTTAAAGAACTCAGGCCACGGAGCAATTCATCAACCTCTTAATACTAATCTTATAAAACCAAACTTAGTAAGTGTTGGTTTAATTGCTAGAGGCCGTAATTTGTGACTCAAGTAGAATAGCTTCCCGAATGTATCACAGGACACACTGCTCACATAGATGGGAACGTTCTTGATGGTTGCTTACTCTCATTCATACATTCATTCATTCATTCATTCATTCCTAAACACTTAACTGAGTACCTACTCTGTGTCTGCAGCCTGGTAGGTTCCAAGATCTCAGACATGAATTAGGCAGACTCGCCCCTTTTGAGACTTCCCGTCGTTCCTGTCAGTTCAGCTGAAGGAGGAGTCGGTTTTCTTTCTCAAGTTTCCCACATATGGTGTCCGTGCCGTCCTTGAGATCTTGAGGCTATTTTTAATTGAAATAGAAGCTCTTCAGCATACACCTTGCTCCAAAATATTATGCAGAAAGCCAACCTCATAAGAGAGCGGGGTCCTGGGGGCAGGGGCAGGTCTGGGTGCACCAACGAGCTCCAGCTCTGGCCTCCCGCTGCCATGGAGACAATGGCCCTGTTCTGTCCAGCTGCACGTGTCCTTAAGGAGGACTCCGAATGCAGGGCGACCAGCAGGGTATCCACCAGATCCCTGCGGAGGGCGGCAGTAAATAATGCTTCCAGTGTCACTGGGGCTGAGAGTCTTACCCGTCCGGCTCACAGCTTTATTAATTCTGCCATTAGTCTCTGACAGAGCAAGAATTCTGCCCACACGATCACATGGAAATGAGCCCGTGGAAACGGGGCTGTGGAAGTTGCTTTCATTTCCCCATTACTACTCTTTGTGTCTCTCATTACCCGCTCCTTTGAATTCAGATCCTATTGATTCTGCATCAAAAGTCTGTTGTTGCCTCTGCTGTCATCCTCATCCAGGTCCTCATTCTCTCCCATTTCATCTGCTGCTATAATTCTTACCACTGGGTTTCCTACCCCATTCTCCTACCTCCCTTCAGTCCACCGCACACATTCCTGTTCGTGTTACCTTCTGCAAAGCAGCATTCCAGTGCCTCTCCTGTGCAGGGTGAGATCCACCTTCCCAAGCAGAAGCCAAGGAGGTAGCAGGGGATTGTTAGAGCGCGTGGAAGGGAAGACTGAGCAAAGTACCATGGTTGTTCCAAGACACTTCGCGCTTCTGCGGCTTTCCCGGCCTGTCCTGCACCGCCTCTGCGTGTCCCTTCGCCCTCCCCCTTGTTCCTTCCAGCCACGTTGCTCATCTGCCCCTTCCACACTGCCACTTCCATCTCTCAAAATGTTATTCAGGTCCCGTATTATTAAGGGAGGCACCGATTCTGAAGCAGGTACCTAAGGTAAAAATCTCATAGACTGCGCTTTGAAACTCTAGAGCCACCCTGAGAATAGCCCTCTCTCCACTCCCCTGGACACCAGCTAAGAAGCCCCTGAACAGAGAGCACGGAAAGTAAGCACAGTCAGGTCTTCAGCTTCTCCAGCTGTGCCCAAGCAGGGTTTCCCAACCTGTTCTGTGTCCGGCATGAAGAGAAAATGTTAGTGTGTGTTTGGCACACAAGGTACTTTGAGGGGACAGAGTGTGGGGTCATGTTGGGGGGGGGGGTCCCTGTTGGTGCAGCCATCCTGTGGCAGAGGACCAGCTAGGAATCTTTGTCCTAGGGATGTGTTTGCTGAATCAAGTGGCTTCCATGTTGGTTGGTTGGTTGGTTGGTTTTGAGACGGTCTCACTCTGTCACCCAGGCTGGACTGCAGCAGCACAACCTCGGCTCACTGCAGCCTTCACCTTCCGGGTTCAAGTGACTCTCCTGCCTCAACCTCCAGAGTAGTAGGGACTACAGGCATACGCCACCATACCTGGCTAATTTTTGTATTTTTGGTAGAGACGGGGTTTCACCATGTTGACCAGGCTGGTCTCAAACTTCTGACCTCAAGCAATCAGCCTGCCTTGGCCTCCCAAAGCGCTGGGCCTGGCCCATGGTGTTTCAATCTCATTCTTCCATTGTATGGTTGCATCTCTCTAAGAGTTAAATATGCCTGTGGTATGACTCCAGTTTACAGATTCTACCCTTCATGAGTCCTGCTTTGATTTTCTATCAACCAACCTGGCTTGTCTTTCTCATATGGTTTACGTGTAGTATGGTTTACTTATGAACTTGGCCTGGCCCTTCAAGGAAAGGAAGTGACTCGTTCATGCCTACCTTGGGCCCACCTGGCTTGTGGTGGTGTCCACACGTGCCTCTGTTGAAGGAGAACTTAAAAGCCAGCACCTTCTGGAATCCATTACTTGATTGATATCACAACAGGGCTTTCTCTGCATCTTGAAAGTAATTCTTTCCTCCGTTTCTGTCATTATAGGATTTCAGGAACGGGCTTGGGAACCACGTGAGTCCAGGATCCCACACCCCTGCTGCCTCTCAGCCCGGCTCGGCGAGTTCCGGAATGGTGCTGCGCAGGCCGAGGCTACAGCAAGACTGTGCGCCCAGGACGGCCGTGGGTCTGGCTCTGCTGGCTCTTCTTTTGGCTTTTTTTGTCAAGGTCTATAATTAGAATACAACTAAATGAAGCATCTGTAAAGAAGAATACGTTTCTAAATAAAATCTTCAATGAACAGGAAAGTCACACCTCCATTCTCAAAGGGCAATCATTTGTACTGGTCACATTGCCTCCTCTTCAGCCATTCTTCTTACTGAGGCTCCTCCTGCCTCACACTGAGTTGGACCTATTGGTTATTTGACCTAAAACCTAATCACAGCTACCATAGTATATCCTTCAAATTAAACTGTTTTTCGTTTACTTTTAGCAAGAAATGCAAGTGGTTGCATTTTTTTTTTCTCCTGTATCCAATCTTTAAGTCAGAAACAAATTGTACGGTGACTCTGGCCATCTTTTCCTCATGTGGAAGAATTTTCTATCTTTAATACACTTTTTTTTTTTGAAACAGAGTTTCACTCTTGTCACCCAAGCTGAAGTGCAGTGGTACAATCTTGGGTCACTGCAACCTCTGCCCCCTAAGTTCAAATGATTTTTCTGCCTCAGCCTCCCACATAGGTGTGATTATAAGCCTGGCTAATTTCTTGTATTTTTAGTAAAGACAGAGTTTCACCATGTTGGCCAGGCTAGTCTCGAACCTCTGACCCCAAGTGATCCGCCCACCTCGGCCTCCCAAAGTGCTGGGATTATAGGTGTGAACCACTGCCCCCAGACTCTTTAATAAACTCTTTTAAATGCATCTTCCCCTTCAGGCTTTGTTTGGAGTCCCAGTGCTACAAACGTTTTATTTTTCACAACAGAAGTGTTCCTGAAAAGTGTGTATAGAAACCTGTTCTGGAAACTTGAACGCTTTTAGAATGCACCGGGAGAATCTGCCAGCTAAAGGCCTCCTGGCAACAATCTGTGAAATATGAAACTGAAAAACGATTTGTCTAAAACAAATTGTGCCCGTTTTCTCACATTTTTGATCCATTAGTTTTGTGAGTCAGGGTGTCAGTCTTGTCACCCAGGCTGGAGTACAGCGGCACTATCTCAACTCACTGCAGCCTCCACCTCCTGGGCTCAAGCAGTCCTTCTGCATCAGTCTCGTAACAGCCAGGACTACAGACACATACCACCACGCCCAACTAAGTTTTTAAATTTTTGTAGAGGTGGGTGTCACTATGTTGCCCAGACTTGTCTGGAACTCCTAGCCTCAAGCAGTCCTCTCACTCAGCCTCCCTAACTGCTGGGATTACAGGCATGAGGCATTCCACCCAGCCCAGATTAAATGTTTTTATTTCTACCTGCCATCATTGGTCTTTACTAAGTGAAGTGACTTCTTTAACAATAAATGGAATTGGTACACTAAGCAAACCCTATGTTGATCAGAATTTATTTGGATTGCACAGGTACAGGAAAACCAGGTTCCTCGCCGTCACCATACAATACTTTCCATCTCAAAACCCATGACCCTCTTCAACTCTTCCATTTAACTCAAAATGTTTGTGTTTTGTGTGTCTTTTAAGGAACCTAAATTAAAATTCAGTTGTGTCCCAGTTGGTAAATTATAGAATACGTATGCTTTTAGTGTTTGTTAGTACATTCCTCCTGGAACTGGTATGTGCTTCTAAGAGGTGCTCACATCTAGAATGCAAAATCCTCCCGTGCCCCTTCTGGCCCTGCAGTGAAACATCACGTGGGAGCACCTCTCACTTCTCAGCAGGAACGGGGAGAAGAGCACAAGAACGTGCCACGTGCTCCCTTCGTGAGCTCCGTGCAGTCATTTCTTTGTTAATAAACAACGGCTTTCAGTGTGGTACTCATTTAACACAAACCCAGCAGAGATAAAAATGCCATCCAAAGCCTGAAGTCGCACTAGATCAGACAGAGAGACGGCGCAGCACCTGTAACTGATTGGAGACCTCCCTTTTCTGACTCATGCGTACTTTTCCTCTCACTCTCTCATCTATTTATTTCCTACCTTCTAGCTCTATGCTGTCCTCTCCTTCCTTCGTTTTTTTTTTTTGTTTTGGTTTTTTTTTTTTCCTATAAGAGAAAACACCCAGTCATCCAATTCCCCTGCTGCTGCCCTCACCAACCATGGCATGGATCCTCAAGGATGGTTTCAGCTGTACAGATTCTCCCTGCTCCCTGCGTGACTGTTTACCTTCAGTTTGGCTGCAGCTTCACTCTGCTCTTTGGCTCAGAAAGGGACCAAGGCCACTGCCTGCAGCAGACTCGGGACCTTCGTGATGTCAGCCTTCATGCTGGTGACCAGTTGGTGAGCGGGATGGCAGCATTGTGGAAATTCAGGGATTTTCTCCCCTGCATGACCTCCATCTACAGGGAGTGGGAGGGAAACAGAGTCAGAAGCCGTTCTCTTATGCACTGGACTCTGAACGGGACTGAGTGTAGGAACTACGGGAGCAAGGGTGGTCATCAGTAGAGCTGTTCCTTTTCCCACCCGTGTCCTTCCTGCCCACAGTGCAGCTGCACTTCTCCCGCCCTGCTGAAGTTAGGCATGCCCACACGGCTTATTTTAGCAGGTGAAATGTGAACGGAGGGCTCATGTTCTTCAGGGCAGACGTGTTCAGAGCTGGTGTACAGTTTACCCTGTGCTCTTCCCACTGCTGTGGTGATCCTGGACTTGAATTTGGGAATGAAGCTTCCCTGTCCCTGGAGTCCCTGAGTTTGTACAGTGAGTAGGGCCCCTGGCCAGCATGTGCTAGACAGGCATTCGGAGCCAGAAACATACTTTGGTTGTGTGAAGCCGCTGGCATCTGAGGATTGTAGCCACAGCATAGCCTGATTCATACAAAGTGTCAGCCGTGATAGGATGCTTGACCTGCAGGTTATAAATGTAATTGTTACGTTTTCTTTGTGTGCTTTGCATTCGTATCAAGGGGTGTGGGGGTGTGTGTGTGGGTGTGTGTGTGTGTCTGTGTCTACTTCTCTGCCGAGAAGGAAAGCTATGAAGAGATCTTTTCAATGTTTGGCCAATTTTTTTCTTAAACTCTTTGTTAGAATAAAACATGCATATGAAGTGGACATAAATCATAGGCATCGAGGGGTTTTTTAAAACTGAGCCCACACTGTAGCCAGCAGCAGCAGCAGGCTCCCCATGCACCCTCCCAGCCATTAAGTCTGCCCCCCAAGAAGTAACCAGTATCCTTGTTTCTAACAACACAGATTGATTTGCCTGTTTCTGAACTTTCTGTAAGAGGAATCACGTAATATCCATGATTTCATGTCTGCCTTCTTTTGTTCAATAGTCATTGCAAGATAAGTCCGGATTACTGTGTGTAGCAGTAATTAATTCACGGTAATTGCTGAATAGTATTTCAGTGTATGAGTATACCACATTGTCTTATTCATTCTGCATTTGAGTTGTTTCTAAATTTTTGTCTATTATGAATGCTGCTGCTAGAAACATGTTCTGTTAAGCATTTATGTGATGAGTACATGTCTAGGAGTGGAACTGCTGGGTCACAGGATTTGCGTATGTTCAGCTTAGATGCTGCTGAATGGTTTTCTGAAGTGGTTGAACCAATTTACATCCCCACTAGCACTTGAACTCTGCCATTCCCCCTATTTTTTCTCTCTGTGACTTCAGTATTCTTCAGCAGACCTTGCCTCTGCTGTTTCCCTTCCACAAGTCATTCCTAATAATGATGATAGTATTGACAGCCATTAACTGTCTAGTCTTTAACTGAAAGGAGCTGGGTGTTACAATTTGCACTTGAAAGGTGTTAATCAGTCCCAAAGAAAAAATTTTGAGAGCGATATTGCTATTCCCATCATATTGAGAAGAAAATCTGAAACTCAAAAGACTAAGTAACCTGTGTAGGAGTCACAGAGCTATTCAGTTTAGAGGCAGGACTGAGACACAGCCTGACTCCAAAGCATATACTCCTCCAAGGAAAACCCTCCTGCTCCTCTGCCCGGTGTTTGACTTAAACTTGGCCTATGCCCACAGATACGCATTTAGGATCAATCACGCGGATGCCTGAGCTTGGTGTGAGGGCGCTTCAGCCCCTCAGTCTCTGTTATCCTGATCCAAAAATGTGCATGCTACTCAACACACTTTTTAAATAAAGATTTACTAGTCAAGCTGTTTCTGCGCCCCTCCCCCTTCCTTCCTTCTTTCCCTCCTTATCATCCCTGCTCATCAAGCATGAGATAGTCAATCTGAGAATGTGAAGAACTCTTGGGTAAAAACTTTCGTTTGTTGCTGGGAAAATGTGTCTCAACATCAGATTTCCATATGTCATTCAGTCAAAACCTACACTACTGCTACTGACTCCACTCCAGGTTGAACATTTTAGTGTGTACTGTAAGATGTCGTGGAGGGAGAAGCAGAGTTACAAATAAAGCTTCAAGAGGATTTGTCATGAAACAAACACAGAAAAAAAGGAAGGAAGGGAGAGGAGGAAGAGAAGGGAAGGTAGAGAAAAGAAAAAGGGAGAAAAGGTATCCGTAAGGCTTGCAGCAACCATCAAAAAGTCAACCATGTGAGGGGATGGGGATGGTAAACTGCTTGACTGTAGTAACCATTTCGCTATGTTTATGTGTATCAGTACATGTTCACCTTAAATACACACAATAAAAAATGAATATGTCCATTTTCTAAAAGGCTTGCTGGGCCCCCGAGGCACCTCAGGATGCTGCAGGACATTCACAGGAGCACCCTGGGATACTTTAAATTGTTGAAGGAAACACAGCAACATCGGTCAGACACCAGGCCAACTACTAGCTCAAAATAGTTCACTTTTCAGCATTAGACTTCACAATTTTTTTTGGTGACACCATGAAACTAGATTTTCAGCAATTGCTGTGATAAAAAGCAAGTATGAAGTGAAAATCAACATGGAACAGGAAACGAAAATTGTGATCACGGTCCAAGGTTTGAGAAGTGGTGCTGTTCCCAACAGGTGCGCAGCTGCCATTAATAACTAATGTCAGTATGAAATAAAATATTAATGTTTTTCTTTAAGTTATATGTATTATTTTTTTCAAACAGTTCTTATAGTAAGATATAAATGCTTATTCAGTTGTTAGAGTTACCTAAACAGAAAGGTTAGCTGTTTCTTTTGGCCTAGGGGTACCATGAATCAAGAAAGTCTGAAGACCTCTGCTCTGTGAT